AACGGCAGAATGGGGCAGCCGGGTTGCTGACCAATCACTTGGTGCAGAGAAGAAGATAGAAGCGCTAGAGAAACAGAATTCTAATCTGGTTCAAGCCATCATGCGTTCAAACCCTCATCTCAACACGCAAGACTTTCTTTCCCGGGTGAATGATATCTGTGAAGTCGACGGTCACGACCGCGTCTCGGCTGAATTCAGTGCTCACGACGATGTTGGTGAAAGCATGCTGCGGTCTGCCTCAGCTTCCTCAACTGTCTCTCAACCCCTCCAAAGATGTGTGGAGCTTGGTAACCTTGCACGCTCTCATTGTGCAAGTCGCTCATTTCTTCTTCCGTTCTAGCCCACGACCCACTAACTAGCAAACGACGTTCGATGGAGGGCTGGTTGTTCTGGTATCGAAAGATGTTGGAGTTAGGCCACGCCAAGCCTGCCATGAGCGAGAGTGACGAGGTGCATCGGCATAAGGCTGACTCAGAGAAGGAGATGCTGGGGTTCCTGCTGGGCAACGAGGACTCGAGGAAGTTTCGGGATATCGTCGAGAGTTGTTCGAGTCACGAGCGAGAGGAGGTGATCCGAGTAGTGGCGTATCAGAGAGAGGGAGAAGAGAGGAGGGAGGGAGGGAGGGAGGGAGGGAGGGAGGGAGAGAGAGAGAGGGAGGGAGGGAGAGGAAGCAGACAGAAGAGACGGAGATAGAAAGGAGAGAGAGAGCGTGCGAGAGAATTGGTTGTAGGGGAAGCTTGGGGAGAGAAGGGAGAGAGAGAAGAGGTGGGGCGAGAGCGGGGAATGGGAGGGATGGGGGAAAGCGAGAGAGAGAGAGAGAGAGAACAGATATGAAACGCATAGGGAGGGGCGGCGTGGAGAGAGCAAGTTCATCGTAAATCGTGGTCGTTGCGATTTGAGTTGTAGAAAATTGTGTTGAGGATCGGAGGGGACATCAGAGACTAACAGGAAGAGAGGAGCGATGCTGACATACACGCTCGCGTCCCCAGCAGCCCAAACATGATGGGAGGCTCGAGCGATGAGGCTGAAGAGGAACATTTGCGCCATCGACCTCCTCCTGTCGTGTTGAATAAAAGCACAGAACTGACCCTCCAACACCCTCATCATTACCTCTGCCCTGCCCCTGCCTGCCTGCCTCCGTCCCTCCGTTCGTCTACCTGTCTTGTCTGCCTGCCTATCCGTCTTGTCTGCCTTCCTGCCCCCCTGTCTCCCTCCCTCCCTCCCTCCGTCTGCCTCTCCTCGTCATCCTTGACTTCGTCTTGCTTGGGTTGGGCTCAATTTGTACTAGTACAATAAATTCGCAACCTGAAATAGGGCCTCCTCCCCCTGCTCCTCCCCTGCCCTCCTCCCCCTGCTCCTCCCTGCTCCTCCCCTGCCCTCCTGCCCTGCCCTCCTGCCCTGCCCTCCTCCCCTGCCCTCCTCCCCTGCCCTCCTGCCCTCGCCTCTTGCTTCTCTCCTCCCCCTGTTCCCTTCCCTCCTCCCCTCTCCCGCCCTACAGACCTGGTCGTTCCCCGGCTGTTCTGTTTCTTCATCTACCGTGAGCGTCAGTTTTCTTCACCTGCTCTTCCGTATCATCTCAGTGTCAGAGGCTCGTGAGGAAGTTGCTGGTGGTTGCAGCAGAGCGTCTCCATCATGGCGAGGGTCTTGAGGTACGGAGCCAAGGTGTCGCTCTTTGCCGAGGAGATGAAGGGCTTCGTCGTCAGCGACGGTTTCATACGCCAGCATGTCCACGTGGAGTGTCTGAGAGAGGACGAGCACAACATCCCTGACTTCGAGGTGAGCTAACCCAAACTTCCTCTCCCTGCTGCTCTCCTTGCTCCCCCCCCCCCCCCCCCCCCCTCCTGCCTCCGTTCGTTCCCTCACCGAGATAGCAGAGAGCTTTGTTTCAAGTCCTCCCGAGACAAGAGAGTCACGCCACGCGCATCTTGAGCTCGTACCTGCAGTCCTTGCAGCTTCCCAGCGGAGTGAAGCCAGAGACTTTCTTGAGCGGGGAGGAGCAGGAGCGATACAAGCAGCTGGTAAGCCTCGCCGAGCAGGAGCGGCACCTGAACAAGCAGATGTTGAGGACCTTGTACGGCAACGAGGTGCTGGCAGGGGATTTCATTCAATTCAAGCACATCAGCAGCGACCGGTACCTGCGGTTTCTCTTGGGGGCCTCCTCGTCCTCAGAGTCGATGGAAGTGGAGCTAGACGACTCCAGCAACGCCTCCGCCTTCTCTCTCACCTGCCCCTACACACGCGACGCCGGCAAGACGCGCATCTCGATTCAGGATCACGTGTACATCATTCCCGACCGATCGCTTCCTGGGTTCCTCGGCTGCTCCTCGGAAGACAAGGAGCTCGCGTTCCAGTGCAACCTCAACTCAGTGGCGCTCAAGGTCGTCGACGGCCCGATGAAGTTTCTGCTGCACCTCTACCAAGACGCTGAGACGAGCGTCAAAGACGCCGAGCTCTCCGAGGGTCTCCGTGCTGGCAGCTTCCTCCAGCTGTTTCAGCCCAGCTCGAACTGCCTGCTGGCTGCTGTCCCCATTCATGGGAGAGACTTCGCCATGGTCGTGTCGGAGCGGGTGGACTCGCTTCAAGACGGCTCCCTCCACTCCCTCTGGGTCGTCGAGCAGGTCGACCCCTCCGTCGGCGGCTCGTTGAGCATCAAGTCTTCCTTCAGGCTCCGCAACCTGGCGACAGGAGGATACCTGTGCCCGAGCAAGACCAGCACCAGCGAGCTGACGCTTATGGCCAAGGAGATGCGCTACTGGAGCAACGAGTCCGCCGACTACCTCACCCGCTCCTGCTTCGAGTTCCACCGCCCCATGGAGAGCGACGTACCAGACGAGGGGGTCTCGGAGCAGGTTCTCTTCTGGTTGTTCTTCGGCTCGGAGGAGCATGGAGGTTACCTGCACGTGAGAGAGAACGAGCACGCGCTCCTCCTGCCCTCGCCAGGATCCAACCAGGGAGTTTTCTTGTCTCCAGTGAGCCAGGAGACGAGGCAAACGGCGACGCTTGTGCTGCGAGCTGAGAGACTGTTGGCGGCGACGCTGCGAGCTGAGAAAGAGCCGCGAGCTCTGACGTGTCAAGAGATGATCGCCGTGATCGAGGTCCTCAAGCTCCTCAGCCTCCGCTTGAAGGCTCGCCTCAAGGACAGCAAGCACCTGCTCGTCTTCCAAGGCTTCTTGCGGCAGAGCGGAGTGATACGGATGGTGACGGGGGCGGCGAGGGAGCAGAAGGAGGAGGTGAAGCTGCAGGCTGCTAGCAGGGACGTGCGAAGCGTGTTTCAATCCGCAACTCTCAGCTACAGCATGGAGTTTCTCTCTGCTGTCTTTCAATTCTTGCGCTTGGCGATGGCGAACAACGAGGCCGTGTGTCAAGAGGTCTTCCTCAGGCTGCCTCTCGACCTCCTCCTCCTAGACCCAGCTGGCTTCAGTTCTCATTACCTCAAGTCCAACTTCATTCAAGACCTCGTCGCTTGTTACCTCCAAGTCTACCAGACCAGCTTCAGTGCCTTGTTTGACATCAACTTCTCAGTGTTGGAGTCGTTCCTCAAGGTCCTCGAGAACCATCACAAGGCTGCTTCCTTCGTCTTCGCCATCTTGCGAAGTCTTCTCACCTACAAGAACGTCAAACTCCGTAAGAATGCGCAGACTGTTTACAGCTTGCTCTTTGACATGCAAGGTTCGATCGCGCTGCCAAGAACAGCCATGCTGGATGGGTCCGTGCATGTTTGTCTCGACGTCGATTGGAAGGACAAAACCAAGTGGCGCAAGGCTGAAGTGCTGGCGGACGAGGAGGACACGAGGGAGTACTACAACGAGTTCGAGTTGCTGCTGTCGGAGCTCTGCCAGAACCAGGAGTGGTTTGACGCAGACGTGCAGAAGCGCTTGGAGCGAGAGCTCTTCCTCTCCCTCGAGGCCGGCGCTCTCATCATCGCCGACGAAGAGCTTCCCCTCGCTGTCCGCACCTCCCTCTCTCTCCTTGTCTCCACCGTCTACATCAACAAGGCGGAGCGCGAGGGCGACGCGATCCTCGACGGCCTCTTCGTCCTCTGGCCGAGGATCAGGGGTGACGCTACTGACAAGACTGGGAGCGGCTTAGGGGGGTCCGGGGACTTGGCAGCGGTTGTGTCGCAGCTCAAGGGAAGCATTCTCAAGGCTCTTCGTGCCGCCCCTTCTCAGGTCCTCGCGCTCCTCCTCCTCGCGCTCCTCCTCCTCGCGCTCCTCCTCCTCGCGCTCCTCCTCCTCGCGCTCCTCCTCCTCGCGCTCCTCCTCCTCGCGCTCCTCCTCCTCGCGCTCCTCCTCCTCGCGCTCCTCCTCCTCGCGCTCCTCCTCCTGGGTCGCTGACCAGCTGGCAGGGACGGGAGGGGTTGGAGTACTTGGGGGCTCAGACTAGGTTGCTGCACAAGTTTCTGGAGGCAGGGCTCTACGACAAGGAGATCGCTCAGGCCTTCCATGCTCCCTCCCTCCCCGACCAGCCCCGCAGCCTCCTCCTCACCCTCATGCACGAGCTGATGGCTGCTTTCTTCCATACCTGGACTCGCAACGAGCCTGCGCTCCTGGACAAGGTCGCAGCAGGCGCGAGCAGGAGAAGAGAAGTGACTTGCAGCAGGTGAATGAGATCAGAAGGCTCATTCTCACGACCCTCAACCTGCTCTCAAAGGTGGCTTCTGCTTGCCTTGTCTTGTTGTACCGCAGGTCTTCTCTTGACTCTCTTGAAGCTCCGCATGAAAGAAAAACTGCGACGCGTGCTTCAGCTGTGCGAGGAAGACTTTCACTTGTGCTCGGGGCACATGGCGGACAACGACAGCAAGGTGAAGTACAAGTTGATGATGAGAAGCCTCTGACGTCTGTTCCTTGTCAGGTCGCGTTCGGCATGTTTGACAACGCGCACGTGCAAGGCTTGATGGGTCAGCTGCGAGTAGAAGGGCGCGACATAATGCGGGTGATCGAGTGCGTGACGAGGAGCGAGGACAAGGCGTTGGAGAAAGAAGCAGCGGAGCTGATGCTGAGGAACCTCGACGAGCCAGAGCTGCTGCTGTTCGAGCTGCGGCAGATGAAGATCCTAGAGAGTGAAGTCATGTCCGAGGACCTCTCCCTCCTCCGAGACCTCGCGGATCGCCTGCTCCGAAGCTCTGACTTTCTGTTCCTCCTCCACCATCACGTGCGGGGTCGACGGCAGGAGACTAGATACGACCTGCTGATACAAGGCTTCATCAACAAAGTCGCGCCTGCCTCTGCTGTAGAGCTTCTTGGCTCTCCTGCTGGTCTGACGGAACGAGCAGGTTCGAGAGCACGTGCTCACCCGAAGCCCTAGCGAGGTGATGCCGCTGGTCCCGTCGCTTCTCTCTGACGCCTGCAGGTCTTCACTTCCTCCTTCCCTGCCCTCACGTC